CCATTGTCCATGTTTTGGGACCTGCAGAATCTTAGGGTTGGGAGCTTGGTACCATATGAAGATTGAAGTAAAGGTACACATGTTGTATATCTTCCAACTTGTAATGCGAAAATTGCGTTTCATTCATGTTTGCAGATTTTTCTTACAGTTACATAACTGACACACATTATGATAAACAAGAATTTATTAGAATAAATCCTTCAATAATCTGATTTTGCAACAAATGTATCTAATAACGAACATGACGTAGTAAGTAGTATTTTAATTTTAATTAGACATCTTACGTGAGCTAGCAGAAGTGGGCAATTGATGCAGGTAATGTAAGTAGAGGTCCTCGAGGTACGTATTATTATGCACATAATAGACAGACGTACGCAAAAATGGAGTATTTAAGCGCGGCTAGTTGTTAATCGTGAAGGTTAACTCGAATAAACATGGTAATGTGTATAATTAAAATATTTCTAGGTGAGAACTGTGTCACGTACTTTACCATTGTTTAATTTACCTCAGTTACGATTTAAGTGCGCATACCTACATTAAGAGCGAAAACAGTCCCATTCATAAATTGCTTTTGAATTTATTTGACCTTATTAAAAGCCGAATATCTTAATGTTAAATAGAACAAGTTGAACACCTGTAAGTGTTTTAAGTATTAATGAGAGGCAATATTGATGACATTCTTTTTGCCTTTTTTAGGTACGCATTTCAAACAGTGTTGAGAATCGTACATTTTTCATATACTAGGTTTATGAAATATATTGAAACTGCGAAGACATGTTACCTTAACGTCATTGCCGTCGTAAAACAACCCTGCATTACATTTACTTAATGGCCACTAGATGTATTTTTCATTGCTTAATCGAATGTGAAGGACGAAGTATAAAGATTTAAGATGTGCACGTAACCTCTCCCATAATTGACAAGACGTGTGGCTTATGGAATTGAAGGGAAAATGTATGAGGACACTGCCAATGCCATAAAATAAACCCCTAAAGCAGATCTAAAAAAGCGGTGTGACCCTACGGTGTCATTGGATTTGACTGAAGCGTTTGACAGTTATCGTGTTCACGGACAGACAGACGGACACCATCGATTCCCCTGTAAAGCCTGCATCGCTTCGCTCTGCCACTTAATAAATCCTAAATGCAATTTCTAAAAAATAGATGCCATTTTATAATCGTGTATAGGTTTTTTACAACATACATACTTTGTGCAAACCTATATACATTCCTTATAGCAGCGAAAGCATGTTAAACAGTAAGGGGTGGTTTACGGACCACACGGTACATACTGTATTCTTATATGTTTGCCATGTATTCCCTACTGGCCACACTGCACAAAGTAAAAAAAAAATAAATAAATAAATAAAATCAATATTAAAAAACGTTTTCATTAAAATTTTTATTAATCGGGTAACATCTAATGACCGATAATTAACAATTCTTTTAAAAACTAATACATGCCTAATATGCAATTGAGTCACCTTTTTTAGGGCATTTTCCAACTCATGTTGGAAGGCGCTATTATGGCCACTGTCTCCGTCCGTCCGAGGATTAACTACTCCTACAGTGTTCAAGATATTTAGTTCGTTCTTTTTGCATTCTATAGATTATAGCTCTGGTACCTCAACCAAGAAAAATCTTGGAGATATTTTTGGAAATTTTATTTATTTATTTTCCCTCTTGTTCTAGGCCCTCAACAGGCTTATGTCCAATTACAGAGTGACCCGCATAATGCTTTTTAGAGGTGCCCCTGCACAATGTCTTAAGTTGTTAGAAGGTCTCAAGTTGTTTTTTAACCACAGGTGCTTCTAGTAAAGGTGTGCGCATGCGCAAACTGCGCCATGTCAACTTTTTATTTATAGAGATGTCTTCTGCAAATTTTAATGACATTTTTCGGTTTTTTGGACATAATTCGCTCTTTGTAGACCTACAAGACTTTTTGGAAAGGAAAATTAATCGGCTTTGTATCTCTTACGGTCTCCGAGTCCCCATAATGACACCCTATAATTTTTTTAATAAATACGTTTTTAGTAACAGCACTTTTTATTTTTAATCGGGAAGGGGGGGGGGCGTGAGTAATTTTAGTTTTATGAAAGGGTGCGCCATGGAAATAAGTTTGAGAACCACTGCTCTACAAGATGCTTGTTTTAAATTTAAAACCTGACGTTTCGTCTCCAGTTTGTTTTTTCTTATGGAAGGCATTTTTTACTTTTCGTCGTTTGGTAGAGCGTTTTTTTCTGATTTCAAAAATGTAAACATCACTATTTTCGATTTTATTATATTATTTGTTTAAATTTCCTCAGCTACTGCGATTGGTTCTAAACACATTACTGCAGCTTTCATTTCTAAAGTAATTACAGGAGTAATTATAACCTATTTGATAGCATTGTAAAGAGAATTTCAAGCTCTTTAAGAATATTACCGAAAAAAGTAACCGTTCAATTTAAAAACATTAATTTGTTTTCTGATGCTCTTTTGTTTTTGTATCACTTGTTTTTTTTGAATATGTAGCTTTATCCGAAATTGAAAGTAGAGTATTTTTACTTCTTACACTTTTTCGCTATTTCCAATAATAAAAGAAATATACGCTTGGACACGCAAAATCAATCGCACTGTATAATTACATTTTTTACACGTAGGGTTTTATTCTACTATAAACGCATTTTATACGGAACTGTGTTGCTTGGGGAAGTGACACTAAGAAACCCGATGGTATAACCCTTGGTCCTGTGGTAAATAAACCTCTTCTTTGAGACGTAACGTGCACTGATACCTTAGCTACCTCTTATTTACAATACACTTCCCAAAAAATCTGGTGAGGCAGCACGAATTCGAGAAGCCATGAAAAAAGCGAAGGCTTTTAGATAACTCCTGCCATTTCATTTGGTCAGAAGATTCGAGGAGTTACTAATGAAGCTAGTTCTTCAACCTTTCTCATCACAACGAATAAGTATTGCTGTACAATGGGGTAATGCAGCGGAAATTCTGGATACCATTCCTTTTTCTAATTCTAGTTTAGAAAAAAAATGTATATTCCCTAGTGCCTTAATCAATTATTTTAGAATTTGTTTATTTATTTAAAGTGGAATCCATTTGTAAATTTGTACATTGATCAATAAATAGTAGTCTATTAATTCGCGTTTTTGTTGGCTGTTAAACCCTAAGTTATAAGGGTAATTTTGACATTTCCCTACGGCGGGACTCTGTTAGATTAATCCAGTGAATAAGTTCAACTATTAAATTTTGAGAAACCTGAAGCAATTCAATTGACTTCAGTATTTACTTGAGGGTGATACAACCAGCACCTCAGAATTTGATTTTCAGATTATACGTGGAAATAAAGAACCAAGGTAAAAGTCGTTGAAAGTAGTGTATTCATTACTGAGCTAGCCGTGGTATTAATTATTTCGTTACAAGTAATTTTTACGGTAAAATTTTTACGAATGATGTAGAGAATAAAAGTGGGCTTTCCAACCCTGGTAATTGTAACTAATCGCGGTTACAGCAAGTATAGGTAATGGAATGCGATAAATTTCGTCTTTTCTTTCAATAAATCTGTTTTTATTTCGCAATATAAATTACTTTACGAATTTTATTTGAGTCCATAGTCGAGTGATATATCTGTATTTTGAAAAAATAAATTGGCCTGCAAAGAAAAGAAAGTAATCTATTTCTTTTCCTTCAAAACACAATGGCTTGATTCCTTAAAAGGTAAAAGGCTAAAAAGGGAATTTAATTACTTTCACAGATAATTACCTACAGATTTTATATAATTTTATGAATCGCAGATGAATTAAATTTAGCGGATAATTGGGAACTGAATTCACTAACGTAGATATACGCATTTTCTATAATATAATATTGTGAATCGAGAATTGAATTCCTTTTTCAAGCTAAATTTAACCAGCTTTTTGTTCGATAGCCAAGCGAAGTCATTTTTCGATTGAGGTGCTCTATTTTCATCATGAAAGTTTTCCGCAAAATTTGTCTCAAGTGCGGATTTAAAATGTGTCATTAAAATTCCCAACCAATATCCCAATGCTTTTTAATTTTGAACGAAAACTCGTGACTTGTGCCCATATACGAAAATACGAACATCTTTACAGTCTTAAAATGACCACAAAAAATCATAAATGACCAAAAATTTTATGACGGAGAGCTTGATGCCACCAACAAACCGTATTATTTTTTCTCATTCGACGAATGCAAATTTAATAGCGTATCTCTGCAGGTGCTTCCAAGAGTTAGTTTTTTATTCGCATTTACCAAAGCCAAATCGACGTTTCATTAGCTATCGGACAGCTACTTATGGCATGAGGACTAATCTTGTTTGCCAAATAAGTACGTGTAGTTTTTTACTGGTAGTTTAGTTCCGCCCACGAGTGTAAGTGAATTTTTTAATCTTCGATTATCTGCATGAAAGTAGCTAGTGTGATAATATCCAACTTTTTAGGATCAGGTCCATTAGTTTAAACGTCAATGTCCTCTTTCCTTTCCGGGTTTGTTTTACATTAATTCATATTTTAGGTTCCTAATATGTGTTGCCACTGGACTATGAAGAAATCAATTACCTATACTACCAATAGATGATATATAATTATCCAAAGCGTAGTTTTTAAAGAGGGTAATTAAGCACGCAGCAACAGGATGAAATGAAAGCGTAAGTGAAATGTTTCATTGCGTTCTCTCTACTTACCTACATGAATATTTTAGCATTGAATTAGCTCAGTGCCACTCTCAAAGCACAAAGAAAAAACTATTTTCACTCGCCTGTACGAGGATCATACGTATTTACGAAAACAATACAATTTGAATCTCGAGATGTGCTTTCTTTTATTGTTTTTTCTGTAAATTATGCGAATTTCTAGACCGTTCATTCAGAAGTGTGCCTCATTGCCTGACCCATCGTTAAAATCACCGCTTTGAGGCAATCGCTAATTGAAATAGTAGATCAACCTTGCTTCTAATACGACCTCACGGATTACACCCACACTTTTAGAGCAATGAAGGTCTGGAGCACTTCGGCTCCAGGACTTCAGATTTGCAACCGCTGTCAGTGCAAGTACGGTAACCAGCAGTGAAAGCAGACCAGTGTTAGTGCAGCGTATGTGCTGTGATTACGATGAGGTTTTATCACGTTGCCGCTATCTTGGTCAGTAGAATATTATTTTTTTATTTTTAACCAAAAGGACCTTAAATTATGTAACCAAGCCAATTAAATGGAAACGAGCCCAATTTAAAATTCTAATAAGTTTTTATTTTGTTTTTTAATATCCATATAAGACGAAGCGCCATCGACCACACGTTCTAAAATTAATTATTTTCAATGGATAGGTACGTCAAAGATATACTATGCGTGATGTAACTATGTAAATTACCGTAAACAAAAGAGCTCATCTGAATACTATTTGTATCACGCTCGTTTAACGGTTTTTTTCGTGAACAATTTGTGTTATTTCACATAATAATTGCCGATAAGAAATGGTCAACCACACGTTTTACTTACCTTAATTAATAGAAAGTTGTGCATGTAGTTCACGCGATTACTCATGTTAATTTCCATGCGACAAATCGACGGTAAAAAGTAAATTGGTAATGGACTCAGGTGTTAATACACATTAAATTAGTCAATAGTGAAGGAAATCCTGTTATGGTCAATTCTTTGAGAAGTATGACATTCGGTGGTAGTAATCTTCATGATCGTAGATACAGGGAATGGGTCGTTGCAGTTGTAAATTAAATCCTTTTGGCGTTTATTACTTTGATTAACTGGCATCTGCTAATTGCGAGACTAATGATAAATAAGTTGTCATCTCCGTGAAGTATGACACATTCACCGCGTCAAATTCTGTGAATAATATTTTAGTGATTTTTGGGCGATGAATTTCCCACGTGTGATGCGTTTGCGGAAACAGCTCGTGTTTCGAAACTGTGGTCCCACCTACGAAATTCCTATTATTGAAGCCACACTTTCGCTTATAAAATACACTTCTTCTGTAAAATGCATTCAACCCCCATTAAGAGACGTGTTGTTACCAAAGCGAAATCACATTTCAATCATTAGGAATAGATATCGAAAAGACAACAGTTATAATAAAATGCAGATGAATGTTGATTTGCCATCCCTCAAAAACAACATACAAGGTTGGTGAATTTATCAAATCATTTGCAAATAATGTTATGTAAACGTGATGAGTATAAATTAAACGCAAATTAAAGGTATATTTTCATCTTAATAGCAATAGGCCAATAGCAATACGTACTAGGTGCCAAATTCTTATATCGTTTATGTCTAATGTAGTTACACTGCCAATTTTTTTAACGAAATCAAAATCACCGTTTTAAACAAATTTAGTGTTTTAGCTTTGACTTTTTACATTGTACATTGTACATTACTGGTGGACTATTGAACTAACAGCTCTATCTAGGTTTTTGTGTATGTTCTTTTCAATGGTTTAAAGGTATTTCCAAAATCCCTCCTTCAAGCTGGCTCACCCCTTAAAAACGTTAATTTTTATCACGGCAAAATAATTAGTCAGAACGTTTTTCTAAAAAGTTGCATGTGAAAACCTTTCTAAAATTTAGGTCTTTAATATGTAAGGGCAATCGTCCCCTCCTGAACACTGAAAACCCATTAAAATAAGTATAATAAGTACGTTCATACGTTGTCACAGCTATGCTATTGTAACGGTAATTTAATTACGTACTACCTATATATATTTATAATTAATTAACAATAAATTTCGAACAGTTTTGAAATGATCATAACAGTTAAAATATTATTTATCACTCACAATTTATAATAGCGCGAACTATTTACTACGTCGGCGTTGTAATTGGAACTTAACTGCGACGCAAACTCCAATGTTCTCGAGTTCCTCCGAATACGTTCGAATCTTCTAGAATATGAAAACCGGGTTTTTCATGCAGGTTATAAATTGAGGAAAAATAATTAAAACTCGGGGGTTGAAAAGAGTGAAAAGGGATACAATTTGTAACACAACTATTAATTATATAAAAGAATCTTTAAAGAAAAAAAAGTTGTAGGGCATAACCAAATGTTATGTACACTATTTTCATACACCCTCAAACTCCCCCCGAGAAAAACAAGGAAAATCTGTTTTTTGGGCCCTCAAAATGGAGCCGTTTCCGAGATATTCACGATTTTCGAGAAAAGTCACCCATTTAGGAAGATGAAAAATCCATTTTTTTCATCGTACAGTCTGCGCGGGGTAGTAAAATTTTGGTAAAGACTTAAATTTGAACAATAAAACATAAAAAAGATCATTCCTATACCAAACAAAATTCGAGAAAATCGCCAAAAACTAGGTACACGTTTTTTGGTATGATAAATAGCTTATTTTGCAACTGACTCAACCGCAATAAAAGCATTTAGACGTAAAATCGAATTCGTTTCCTTCACTAACTCTTCTTCCTGCCTGTCTTACAGCTGATTTCGCTGGGCCTTTTGAAAGTTGATTTGCAGGAATTATGAATAAAAGCCTCATGAAGTTTATTCCAGGTTTCAAATCTCAAATAATTTCTTGCTTTAACCGAAACAATAACCGCCCTTTTTTACTTCAATTCATGTCATTTGTTCATGTAAAGTAAAATAACAGAACATTTTTACCTCCTTCTAGCCACTGCGCCCTAGAAATTATTAAGTTTTTTAGTTGTTATTATTATGACAGTTTTTTTCACAACAGCAACACAGTGAGATACTCATATTTAAAAAAAAAGGTCGGATCATCAATTTAAATTATTAACACATACAGACGGACAAACATTTTATTCTTAAAAACCCGCTTAAAATGATCTAAAGGACATTTGATGAAAATTTTGACATATCCAAAAAAACGGCGATCGCAATAGCTAGTTACTTGCTTAAGTCCAACTTACACTTACACTCCCCTTCAAAATTGATACTCGTATTATGCCGAAGGGTGCTCTGAAAACTACCCATTTTTATCACAACCTATAAAATGATATATGAAAGCTTAGGGTAAGTAAAATTCAGATGAACTAAGTAATGATTGTTAGATGCTTTGGAACATTATTTCAGAATATTTCAATCGTTAAAAATCCTCCCCTATTGTGGTTTAATTAAAAAAATATTTACACTAAAAAATATTAATAACTTATCACAAATGCATTTCAAGCTTTCAAAACCACCACTTGCTTCAATTTTGACATCACCAATGATGCACGGTAAGTAGGAACATAGGGATTTAACATGGAAAATTAGATTTATGCAATATCCTGCCCTTCTGTACATTTTACAGAAAAAACTGTAGAGTTTAAAGTTGTAAAAGGTGCATACAAAACTGTTTTTACAATGCCCGCAAATTTAAAAATAAATTTCAACATTTCTGATATTAGTAGCAATAGCCATGACTTAATTCTGAACAACTTTAAACTCTACAGTTTTTTCTGTAAAATGTACAGGGGAGCAGGATTTTGCATAAAACTAATTTCCCATGTTAAATCCCTTTGTTCTTACTTACCGTGTACCACCCGGTATATAAAGATAGCCGTTTTCAAGCATTAATCTTTAGTTATTACGGCTGTCGTCTGCGTACATTGCTAGGTCTGCGTTGATAGATATTGAAAAGGATTGGGCCTAGGATACTACCCTGAGGGACTACCGCATGTATATTTTTTGGTGGGAGATAGGGATGCATGAATTTTAACTGCGATTTTCTAGGAACGAGAATAGTATGGATTTGATGTAGTCAGGTATTTGAAGTAGTCGAATTTTGTATTTCAGACAATTGTCCATACTCGATCAAAGGCTCTTGCAATGGTCTCAACGATGATTGGTGGAGTGACCTTTTCTGAAACCGAATTGAAAGGGTGGTCAAAATGTTCAGTGTTTTGCACTTCTTCATTGAGCCAAGAATGAATTAAAAAATATAACGCACATAGCTATGGCCATTTAAGAAATGATGATCAAACAATGATAATAATAATAAGTTTATTTCTGTTAATATGCTATAAAGGAAATGGAAATGGAAAATGCGCTAAAGTTACTTCGCCTTGCGAAAATCTTCTTACTTGTTTAATCATTAACTTCTTTAAGTTTATGATAGAAAGTACATTAAAAAACAATTTTGAAGCTTTTTACAAGATATACTCGTACATGTCCATTTACATTAAATCGCTTAAAAATTCGTCGTTTTAAAAGGGGGTGAGCTCAAAGGGCTCAAACAAAGTAGTGCTCGCATATAAATATATGTTTTAAATGTCTATATTACCCTTGATTTCCGGTGAGCAAAATGTTTGGAATTAAAAAACTACAATTTGATACTGTAGCGTAGCATTTTTGACGTAGGTACCTCTGTTGGTTTTAGAGTTCCGTTGAAGAGAAGAATTTGGTGAAATTCGATTTTCACTTTTAGCTCCAGTTATTTCAAAATTAATTCTAAACTAGTCGAGTCAAAGTCGACTGAGAACAAAATTAAGCACTTTTGATATACAGGGTGAACATTTCCTCTGGAACACTGGATATATCTTGCAACGCAAGACTTTATTAAAGACAATTTTTAATGTAACCAAAATTGTAACAAGTTTCTAATATACTACGCACTTTAAATTTGTGATCAGTGGCGCTACATCTGCATAGGGGAGGGAGGGCATAATTTTTTTAATGGTAAATTTTCGTTAAATATTATTAAATAGTGTACTTTTTTGGATGTATCAATATAAATACTAAATAGTTGTATTATTTAATTGTATAATAAAACTAGTTTGCCTAGGAAAAACGTTATTCTCCTGTTCGTTATGTCAAATCAATTTATTTTAAAAATCAATTAACATTTTTAAGTAAATCTACATGCTTAAAAATTGTTTACAGTGGCGTGCGGTACAGAACTAAGAGGGTGACTTTTTTAATCGAAAGCACTATTTTTCGTAAGGTACTATTAAAGAATGCACGTTTTTTAATATGATAACATGATCAAAGCAAGAGAAGATGCCGAAAATTCTAATCACCGATTACAGTTCATGAAATTTATTAGATGTGAAGTTGAAAATGGCGAAAGAATTAATTTAGCAAAATATTGATTTGAAACGGCCACCAAGGGAGTACGAATAATCCGTGTTCAAACCTTCTAAATGGTTGATGAAAGAAACCCATTATAAGTGGATGAAGAA